GGCGACCTAAAATTTTATTGTAAAACAAAACGAAAAAATGAATAACGTTTGTTGAAAATGATGTTAATGATGTTACTGCTCAAGTGTATCTTCCCAAATGGAAAAGATTCACTCGAGGATGTAACTCATAAAGGATGACTCGAAGGTAGAAATGATGACCAAATAATATATTGCATTTAAATCACTATTTACATTATTCGAACTATTGTCCTCATCTTTGTTGCCATATTTATAACAACTGTTCGAGCGTCGTAAGCTCCGGGCTTCTTAAGGTGATTGGAATGTCGAAGTGAACCCTTTATTTCCGTCGCTGGGATAGACTCTTCTAGTTCCATGTGCCAAGTTTAATGGATGTCAGTTATCAGTTATCTCCTGTTAATTCCCCTTTCCAAGTTCTCCACTGCCTTAACCAGGTATTGAACCCACCAAGAGTTGTTACTGGATCTAACCAACGCCTTTATCCACTGTGCCATGTGTCCTTGGCGTTGGTTAGTTCCAGTGACAGGATCCAAAGAATTGTGAGTTCAATCCCTGATTCATCCCAAGAATTCACAAACTGTTATTAAAATTTCCCAAAATATAGAAATGAAATGAGAATAATATATCCCTGTATATTGAATAAAGGGTTTTGATGTATATTCCCAGCAGATTCAAGCCTAACATCAATTCAGATAAAAGCGAATACAGATGCTGAATGCAGCACTCGGAAAATTCAACGGTATTTAAAATAGAAAGGGTTTAAGAACTTGAAATGGCTACAGAGACCTCGCCTTCTTCTTCGCCATAAAACCTCCCGTTTACAATTTACTTCCGATTATCAAACTTGGGATGTGAATAAATGGAAGAAAGTGTTGTTTTCAAACGAGAAAAATTTCAGTCTTGATGGCCCAGACGGTTTTCAGTATTACTGGCATGCAAAGCAGGTCCCAAAAGAAATTTTCTCAACATGACATAGCGGAGGTGGAATCATTTTGCACTACATTTTTAAAATAATTTTTAATATTTTTATGTATATAAAATATTATGCAACCTGCCTATTTTTGAAACATTAAAAATTTAGTGCAAAATGATTTGTATTAAGCTTTTAAATTTTTGATTAGTAAATATATTTTTCACTTAAAAACTATATTCCCTAACGAGATTAAACTAATGTAGAATTTTAAAAGATTTTTTTAAATTATTATAATAAATTATTATAATTAAAATTTTTATAAAATAAAAACAATTCTTGTAAACATTCATTATTCATCGAGTTTTTTTCTTAAGACAATAGTGTCCTTAATAAATCTTTATTTATAAAGGCAATTAAAAGCTTTCCTAATTAAATAATGTTAGTTTTGTTCCATTTTTCTATTCTACGATTCGGGGAAGACTTTCGGAAAATGAGTATTAGTGAAAATTGATGTTTTACATTCTGCACGGAGTCATGCTTTTAACTAATAAAAAGAATTTGGTGGATGAAAATTTAATTTCTCGAAATTTCCCGAAACATATATTAATATATTGCTGGTAATAAGGTATAATATATATATATATATATATATATATATATATATATATATATAGCATAATGAAAGCCACGTATACTTTCTTAATATATATATATAGAAAAAAGTTTCAAATTAAAAATTATAATGTTTTATTTTATGAAAGTATTTATTTATTTATATATATATTTGATATATATATTTGAAGACAATTTGAAATATCAAATGTATATAAAATAAATAAATACTTTCATAAAACATTATAATTTTAATTTGAAACTTTTTCTATATATATATATATATATATATATATATATGTATGTATATATATAATATTTTTTTACGAAAATGTATTGCTGGTATTGAAACCTATTTTTATACTTTCATAATGCTTTGATCACAGTTTGGGGGTAACTATTTGTGGATAGCTGGGACCCCAACAGGTGCTACCACCCCAAGTCAGGATGGGCCTGGGAGCACCAGCAATTAGCGTAATTTCTCAAAAATAATACGCATTTTTTACTGTAAATTACAAGTGATAGTAGGGTTGCGTATTATAAATAGGTTTTTAAAAATATTTTCTTCGTTATTGTTTCATAATAATAAATAGTTACTGATTGTTCTAAAATAAGAAAGATATTATCACAATTTTCATTTCAAATTCAACAATAAGAATTGTAACATTTTTTATCAATACATTTATGTTTATCATACCGCATTTTTTATTTTGCGAAAAATATCTATAAAAATACCAATTTTGAAGAAAAGAGTATATCAAGTTAATAATTTATTGAAATTTTAATTTTCATCATCGTCATCACCACTTTCTATTATAGAATCAATATCTAAATTGTCATTAAACAAATTATTATTCGCAATATTATCTTCGTCCTGTTCTAAATTATACAGCCTAAAGCATAGTTGTGCTTTTTACTTAGCTTAATAACAAAATTCTGAAAATTCAAAAGCGTGTCTCTGTAGTCATTAGGAAAACGCTGGGCTATGGATGTTCTCCTAATAGATATATCAAACCTCTTCATAAAAAGAAAACATCAGTTTGCTGAAGCTTTAAATATGTTTCCAGGATACATGGTTTTCATAAGTTCTTTTGCCTTCATCCTTATTTCCACAGTACTTATGGAACATCCATTTGATCGTCTTTCTTTCACAAATTCAACTAAACTTTGTTTCATATCTGGATATTGAGCTTTTCTTCCTCTACCTATAACTTTGGCACATGATTTATACTTTTTTAGTTCATTTTTATTATTTCTCCATAAACGTATGTTAGCCTCATTCAACTGATATTCTCTAACTGCAGCTCTGTTTCCTATTCTTTGTGCTAATTCTGTTACTTTTTGTTTAAATTTTGCACTATAACTCGCACGTTTTGACGACATTTTGGTGGTAAAATAAAATGTGATAATTACCGGGATAACCACATGGTAATTTTTAACATTACTTTAACCGCTTAGTTTTGATTTTATACTTAATGTCCAGGTTGACAAAATGTCTTCGTAATTATTTTTTTTTATTTATTTAGATTTTTTCTTTTTGACAAAATTTATAGATGCGTATTATACACAGGGATAGATATATTTCTTAATTTTTGGATCATTTGTTGCAGTGTGTATTGGGCTGGTATCATTTTTGAGAAATTACGGTAAGAAGTGGTTTCACGCTCCTCAGAACCTCCTGACCAAAGGCCTTGCTGTCGGATGTAGTTTATTGTCTTACCCAGGACACTTGATGGTGACCATTCTATTATCTTCTTTCTTGTAAACCTTTTAAGCTAAATATTGCCATGTGACCTTAGGTACACGGAAAAGTGCATTGTCCTGTATAAATGCATATTCACATTGAAACTGTGAAGCTGGGATGTACAATTGAAGAATGTATTTTTCATGAAATCGCAATGGTTGGCACTGTTCCGTTTAAAATATTCTACGACATTGAATGGTTTAATAATGGTTTAGTCAACAATTTCTGCCCATAACATCACTCTTCCGACTTCTTGTTGCCTTCTTTTAGCCATCGGCACATCTCCGTCAGAAAAAAAAAACAAAAAAAACATCCTTTCACCCATCAATCTGGTCCATCGAGGATCACCCGAAATTAGTTCTTGAAAAGGATTTCACTAATATCATTTTTCAGTTATTTCCGAAAACTTTCATGAATTTCAATTATTAATTGTCTTTTCCTAGATTGTGAAAGTCATTCAAATAATTAACCTCCTCAATTCTTCCCATCGGTAAGATGATTAATAATGGAAAAAGATTTGAAAACAATATTTTCGTTTCTTTACATTGGATAACGAGAAGAAAGGACTAAGTATAAAATATAAGACAAAAATATATGGTTATCAGTAAAAGTATCAGCTCAAAATGCAAATTAAAAATTGGGGATATTAAAATCAAACAAGTACAAAAATTTAAATATCTTGGAAGTGTTCTAACAGAATAGCGACACTGAGATTCGAAGACGTATTGAGATAGCGAAAATGCCTTACAAATGCTAAGCAGATTATTAAGAGAGAGAAAAATTTCGTTAGAATCAAATAAAAGAATACTGAACTGTTACGTGATATCTGTCCTCCTGTATAGAAGTGAATGCTGGAGAATCTCCTCAAAGATGAAGAAGAGACTTGAAATTACAAAAAGATACTGAGATTAGACGAAAAATGTTAAAAACAACGAGGATTTGGAGAGAATGGAAATAAAAAAGGAAACTATACATCAGGAAGAGGCAGTTGAAATTTCTAGGGTACGTGATGAGGAAGGAAGGCTTGGAAAATCTGATACTCACAGGAGAGATTGAGAGAAAAAAGCAACAGAGGAAAGCGGGTAACGTAGTTGATGAGATTGAGCAAATGGATGGTAGAACAGGGTTTGGGAAACTTAACAAAAAGACAAAACTTTTTAAGAGCTACAAGAGACAGGATGATGTGGAGGGCCACTATCGACTATGTCCTGAAGGAACACGACACATAATAGAAGAAGACTCACATGACAGATTGTAGGAAAGAGAGACAGAGGAATGAAATGCGTAACATACTTGATGGGCTTGAGCAAATGAATGGCAGAACAGGATTTGGGAGAAATAACAAAAAGACAAAACATATTAAAAGCTACAAGGAAGAGGAGAGAGTGGAGGACCATGATCGTATACGTCCTGAAGAGAAATGGCACATAGAAGAAGACTCATAGGACAGATAGAAGGAAAGATGGACAGAGGAATGAATCTCGTAATATAATTAATGAGCTTGAGTAAATGGATGACAGAACAAGATTTGAGGGATATAACAAAAAAAAAAAAACTTAATAAGAGTTACAAGTGACAGGAAGATGTGGAGAGCCATGAACCTATATTTCCTGAAGAGACACCGAACATAAAAGATTGAGGGAAAAGAGGAACAAAGGAAAGGAGCGCGTAATGTAGTTGATGAGATTGAGCAAATGGTTGGCAAAGCAGGGTTTGGGAAACTTAATAAAAAGACAAAACTTATTAAGAGTT